TTATTATTATTTATTATTATTACTTGAGAACAGATTTTAAATCCTCTTTCCACCACTGATAAAGAAAATGTTTCTGTTTTCATTAACATATTTGATTTCATTCACTTCTCTCTGAGACACTGAGACTGTTGGATTAGAAATCAATCCACATGCCTCACTAGTCAACACTGACTGAGGTATTGTGGAACATAATGGAGACACAGAATACTAACACTGCTTGTTGCTGGTCTGTGTAACAATCAATATTCTACAAGTAATGAAGTTTAATGAAGTCTCAGCTCAGGCTTCCATTATTTAAAAGTCAAAGCAAGTTGCTAACTAGCCTTTTGGCTATTATGTCCTATCAAATAATACAGACTAATGTGTTTTTTTTAGGAATTGTTGTTGAGTACTTCAGTGAGCCCTACTTGTTGAAAATGATCAATATCACCTCGACTGAGATAAAACACAACAGGCTTCTGATAGAGAGTCATCCTGTCTGGGCAAACATAAAGCTCCATTAGGTGAAAACCAGCCCTTGTATGGAAGATAGCAGCTAATTGCCGACAGAAGAGGAGAACAGTCAGCTCTTTTCTCCTGTTCAGTTATTAATTTCGCACTTCACTTAGCTGTGATTTCTGTCGGGCTAATGTGGCAGAGCCCAGTCGGGATTCCTACTGTTGCTGTCCCTGTAACCACACATACACACCAGTATAATGAGCAGGAGTGCAGCAGGCAGCCGGGGATTGTTGTAATTATAATCACACATTCACAGTCAACTGCCAAATCCACACAGACAAAATAAAGACAATGATACCAGTGTACTGAATATTCAAATCTGCTAGCCCCATCCATTAATCCATCTATCTGCCAGGCCGTTATCCAAACACAGATGCACAGACTTATAACTGCAGTGTAAACATCACGGCTATTACCATCAGTTAAACCTGAGATAAAGCTAGCTCTTAAATACAGTGAGAGGAACTGAAACATGGATTAAAAACTGTAAAAAACAAAAACAAAAAGAAAACAAAAGTGATGCGAATGCTGTCTCTAGAGCCAGTGTTTGGTTTGTTCCTTTTGGGCTACAGTAGAAACCTGGCAGTTCATCATGGCGGACTCCATGGAAGGCAACCCGGAGTGTCTGTAGATAAAAAAGGCAAACATTCAATACATTGACTTGTGTAGTTTTTACTGTAGTCTTTTTAGTTTTAGTCCCGCCCCAAAAAGGCTCTGATTGGCTCAGTTGTTTTTTGACCAGTAAAAAGTAACCATTTACCAAACTGTCTTGGCCAGTGATTCACGACGTCTGGAACCAAGTGAACCTATTCTCCATATAACCATGCACCGAACAACACACACACACACACACACACACTGTTCTCTCTCAGAGAAATGTGTTTTGTCAGGGTGGAGTCCAGGCTGGCCTATTTAATGGCAGATGAAACACAATCAGTGACCACACCACAACAGGCCTGATAGATGATTGTGGTTATTGAGTGAGTATTGACTGGCTCAGGCCTTATGCTCACTGACACACACACACTTACACAC